AGATGATATCAGAACCACTAATTCGAAGCCTCATTCTGGTCGACCACCTCTTATTGAACCTTTACAATGAAACTGACTCAAGCGACTTGTAACTAATGATAAAGGAAAAATCATCGCTTATGTACTGCAGAAGCTTAACAACTTTTGAAAAAAAAGACCAGTCAAAATGTTTCAGCTTGCACTATTGGCCGGACACTTCGTGCAGTTGGGCTAAACAATTGTCTTGCTTGATGAAAACCTCTAATCTCACTAGCAAATATGGAGGCACGTCTTGCATAGTGTTTAAATCACCAAAGCTGGATAAAGGATGATTGGTCAAAAGTCATGTGGAGTGACGAATTGACCTTTTCTCAATTCCAACAAAGCTGATATAGTCAAGTGTGGTGGGAACCTCAGGAAAAGTAGAACATTTCTTGTGTTTCTGCTACAGTAAAACACAGCCCTGGCTGAATATTTTGGGAATGCTTTTCAAGACAAGGCTTGGGACCCATTGTTCCATTATTTGGAACAGCAAATAGTGCTTTACATGTTATCATTCTTCACAAACACGTTATGTCAACTATGAGACGTGCATTTCCAAATAGTAATAGTATATTCTAGGAGGATAATGCTCGCCCTCATAAAATGAAATTTGCAAAGAAATTTTATGCGAAAAATGATCTGCGTGTACTTCCATGGCCAGCTTAAAGTTCAGACCTTAATCCAATTGAGAATCTGTGGGCCGATGTCAAGAAAAGCATTTGTGAAAGGAAAAAAAAGCCTTCAAATCTTGCTGAACTCAACCAATACGTTAAGAAGGCATTGTGAGAAATTCCTATATATACTATTGAAAATTTGGTTGATAGTATGTCTCAGCAAATTTGGGCTGTAATTGAAGCAAATAGAAGCTCAACCAAGTACTAATTACTTAGTATAAAATGTATAGCATATCATACATTAATAAATATATTAATAAACTTTTTTTCAATAAACTTTAAAATTTTGAGTTTTATATTGAACTAAAAGGTGTTCAGAGACTTTTGGCGGGGTCTGTATATATGAACTTTTTTTTACCTAATTGCTCAGTAATAAAGACTTAATAATATTATATAAATATACTCTGATCGAAATCTAGTAGGAATAGGTTGTAGGAATAACCTGTAGCTCTGGAGAAATAAACTCATAAATAAATGCCCGCTTCTTCAAAAAATAATTTTTTTTTTAAGATGAAAAAACCAATTACCACACAAATTGATAGATTAAGAAATATCACATAAGCAGTCACATAGAGTTACAGATGATTTGTGATGTATCACCTATTACATCATATATACTTTAACGAGAATCAAAAATATGCTAATTTATGATGCATATGCTTATATGCATTAGCCATAAAGCATTTTGCATGGCTGAACAATATATTATTTTATTAATATAATATTCGGGATCTGGGTTAAGGTCTAATCTGAAAAATTCAGCGCACAAATTCATAATTATCATTTAAGTCTGTAAAATTCACAGTAATATCCTTCCTGTAAATATAATATATGTATTTTAATGATAAATCACATATAGGTTTCATTTCTGATAATTTAATCTTATATGCCTCATATTCTGAAATTCTGATGAAATATATATAATTATACTTTTTATAAATACTATAATATCTGGGATTCCATAATTATTTTAACATGTTAAGCCAATATATACCTCTAATAACTATATATTCTTGCTAATATAATAATTTCTTAATAAGTATGTATGTTGCAAAAGATAATCATTGCTATAATTAGGCTCTTTTCTCATATATCTAACCATTTTTCGCTGAAAAATAATATTCCTCATACCAAATTTATCTTGAAGAATTATATTCTTCATTTTTTATATCTAAAAACTTCATATCGTCAAGAATACCATTATTTCTCACCGTTTTTCAAACTTGTTTTGTCAAAGATTCAAAACTTTTCTTGTAATTCCTATAAGCTTGCTGGATAACTGTTGCATAGAAATTCTCAAACTGATAGTTATATTATTTTGCAATTAAGAATCCCTAAGATCGCTTTATTGATCTTCCTGAATTTTTTGAAAAATATTTTATTAAAATAGATTAGAAGATCTAATCCAGAATAGGCAGATCAGATTTTTATTCTACAGGTGATACATTTTACAGGCGATCATTCAGATTATATAGCGTAAAAATAAATTATATTTCAGAATCAATCAATCAAACTGGTTAAACAATCGTGACTTTTGTTTCATCTCTTAATTTTAACACAATGCCTTCATTTGTAGTTTCTTTGGGATCCAATGATTGATAAGAAGTTGGTAAAATCACTTTTTGCCTAGCAGGTAAAATACAAGCTGACTTAAAATTTGAAGTACTTGGCATAATATTTTTTATTACAGTTGCTTTAGATTGTGCATAATTTTTATAGCTAGTCGTAAAATTTCCATCATGGTCATATAATACTGATATCAACTTATCCTTTTCTGAGTGTGAAGAAAAGCTCTAGATGAAGACGATTAATTTTAGCCTCTTCTTGTAATATGTATTATTTATATTGCCAGATCTGAAATTCCCTCCTATCAATAGATTCGAGAATTTTTTCTCTTTTTGCATATTTATTCAAAATAGTATTTCCAGAAATACATCTCTTCAAATGGCTATCTTAATAGTAATTAGCTACACTAAAACCATTTTCAGATATGAAAACTAAGGAGTCACATATATTACAATATATGTAATTTGATAGAAGACTATGGACTTTATCATGTTCATATAAATTTCTATACATTATAATATATCTATTCTTAGAAAGAATTCTTGGGTTCTCTTCAAGTATTTTTCTAAATTGATCATGGATATAGAAGCATCACATTTCTGGTATTTTGTAATCATGTCTTACTGTTAAAGGACCTAATGCATCAACTAATCTTCTATATTTTTCAAAGTTTACATCACTATAGCTTATTTGGCATGGATTATATTGGACTCTACTATCTAAATCCATAATACTGTTTTAGTAAATTTTAACGATTTTATTAATTTTATAGTATTTTTAATAATTTTAGCTGATTTAAGTAATATTATACTCTAATAAATCTAAATTCATTTTTATTCGATTGTTCAGGTAGAAACAGATATTATAATTTTTAATTCGACTAAACTATAAAATTTGTATCTCATGTGATCTCTCTAAATCCCTGCCAGTTCTATGACAGTTTTACGATAATTCCCTAGTACTTTTATAATGCTGAGTGGTTTCTCAAATCACGGGTGATCAGCCAATCAGATTTCTCTTTAGCCAGATAAGCATACGTACATGCAAAAAAAAAATTATTTTTCTGATAGGTAAAGTCTGGACAAGCTTTGTCTGAGCTCGTCAAAATTGTGCAGTATCTGAAAAGGATTTCAGGATAATCTAACTATTTTGGCAAATTATTTTCTATAATGTTCAGCTAAAAATACTTTATAATTATTATATTTAGCAGTAACATATAGAATAAACCTGATATAGGCAGATATACAAATACTTTATTATTATCAGTTATATGTTTGAAATAGCTGAGCCTGAAGTATGTCACAAGGGCGCAGTCATTATGTGATACAATATTATACTTTAAAACTTCAGCAATAACATTCGGTATCATCTACAGTTAGATTAAGAAAAGTCTCAGAGGGTAGATGTAATCTGATTACGCTCTTAGCTCCTTTTAGGAATGATCTTTGAGTAATATCTCTTCTTGATTTGTCTGATATAAAATGTCAAGAAATTTTCATCACGAAAAGTGACCATAATCACATGCGCGTGAACAATTGTTCACGCTGATCACTTTTACTAATGAAAAACTTTTGATCAAAATATAGATCACAAAATACATACAATAAAGTAAAAGCTATCATGTGTATGAAATTGGCATATAAACATTTTTTTTTATTATTCTGATGCATAAATTGGTTAAAAATCACAAGTAAAAACCTTATTAATTACACAAGTTAAGTGATCAAATTTTATTATGATGGCTTGTCTAATATCATGTTTTTGCAATATAATTACTTTTTGATAAGGAAATAATGTTCACGATCGCTTATTTCGTTTCTGATCAGGTGAGTTTACAATTTTTGGTTTCTTCACCAAATTACTTCCCATTGATTCCTCTAAGTTCCTCTTTCTGGTAATAACTGCACTTTCTTCTGACTGAGTTCGCATAGCATATTCTTCGTTTCATTCAGCTTCTTCTTGTATTCCTTCAATACAAGGTAACAAAATTCTAAACTATAAAGGAGATGGGAGGAAAGCCTCATATATTAGGACCAAATAAAATAGACCACCAGTAGTGGAAAAAGCATACACTCTAATCTTGCAGCCTAGTTTTCATTTTGATTTAACACTTATAGATTACAATAAATTGTGAAATTGTTTACATCTTTAAATTATAATACTTACCAACCACTATAAGATCCCACTAGACCAATTGATTCACATCTATACCTATCAAATGATCTCTAGCAATCGCCTATAGGTTCCAGAGTTCTAATCCTAATTTAAAAATATTATCTCACTCTTTAGATTGTAAGCACTGTGAAAGACTACCAGAAACTTCTAAACAACTGATAACTGGAATTCAGCTAAGGTTCTGGTATTCGATCATTACATTAACCTTAAATTCAATTCATACACGTTCGTTTGGGTCTCTCTTTTTATTTTGATATATGACCGTCACTTCTAATGATTGTTCGCCGCTAAACAATGTTGATTATAACATATTTGTATGAAAACAAGGTATTTTATATTTGTATAAGTAATTTACTTACTACTTCACCCAAAAATAACTGTCTTTTCTTATTGTCACATTCAGTAGAGGGATGACATTACGAAATGTGTGCTTAACTTCAGGTAAATCGTTCTTCCTGATCATTGTTATAGAATTAAGGCTAGAGAAGGTACACAACTATTATATATTATTTATCCGTAATGTAACAAATTATATATCTATACTTACATGCGACTGAAAAGCTTTTAGAAGGTTTTTTCCACTTCTGCTATCACTAGAACGTCATCAACATCTTTTGCCTATAAATAAAAAATTCTAATATGCGTATTTTATTGTTTTTAAACAAAAAATTACTGATTACTTTCAAGAGTTCGTCAATGAATTTTGCTTCCTTTTCAGTTAATTTTGGAACACAAAAACACATCTTAAGAAGCGCACTCAACATTTGAGAAAAAACATCAAATAATAACTTCGAAGTTGGACTATAAAAGCTAGAATGATCGATCAGATAATAGTAAAGGAGACTGAGAAACATTATTAAATTTTTACAATGTTGTGAATACAATTATAAGAAGCAAAAATAAAAGAAATTCACTCAAAAGCATATTTTATCTTTTTTAGTTATTTACGGTATGCTTCTACCTTCCGCATTACATTATTCTAATTTAGACCTTCTGAATTACTTTCAGCAATGTAAACAATAGATGGTGAGGATTCAATTGACATAATATATTTTCAAGAATAGAACCACACCTCCTTATAGCTACCCTCCTTTATATTATTATTCTTGATATTAGTTGGAATAAGCCAGATAGACTGCCCAGGCAATTGAGAAGAAGGAGAGAATAGTGACTCATTTAACTTCAACTTTGTCTTTTTGAATTATGGCAATATAAGAAAAAACATTAATTAATTTTAATAAATTCAGAACTTCAACGATAGACAATTAATATAATTATTCTATTTTTTTATACTTTACTAGAATAAGCTCAAATTCATACTCCTCCTCTGATTCCTTACTAAAAATACATGTAAAGAATTTAATGTTAAATTTGCAAATTATAAAAAGTAATACATAAAGTAAACCTATGAAGGAATATATTTAGATAAGAAACGAGGAATCCAACTGTATAGTCAAAGTATACTCAAATAAGAAATCTAACTTTGTAGTCTGTTCGTCTGATTTTAAGCCAACTGCTAGGATGTATTCTGTCAGGAGCAAATATAAAAGATTTTGCTAGTGTATTTCATTAGTTATCTTAATTGCATTCACAATTCTGTCAGTTATTGCTCTAGCGGACTGTAACATCCCTTTAGTCTTGTATCAGAATCAAAAAGCTGTTATTTTTTTGCAACCCATACTAATGCAATAGTACATTCCACTTACCCATGTGATATCGATCTGATTCTTTAGCTTCTTTTGATATTCTACTTCTTTCCAAAAGTCAACAACGTTTAGATCAGACATTTGGTTCTAGATAATACCAAAAAAATATAGATAGATAATTTAAACCTTGCATGATGACCTAGAAGGTTATTAATAAGACATCTAGAATGTATCCTGTCTAGTCATGGCTGATACGTTAACAAGAGCATCTAAAAGGTACCCTTTAATTTCATTTCATCACAATGATTTAGAAGGTTATCAACAAAGCATCTAGAAGATGCCTTACCTAGTCATAATGAAAGTACTTGCCTTCAAAGTACAAAGCAACTTGCTAGCCCATTCTACTTGTTCAACCTTAAAATAGCTCTCTTTGTTATTTGCAATTGTTTTCAGATTTTTCTTAAGTCAAGTATTCTCTTTATGAAAAATATTACTAAAATTACTTTGTCTTTTTCGAAATTCGTAATATCTGTGAATAGTCCAAGAATTAGATAACGCGTTAAAATATGTGAGATTTATAATTTTTGGATCTATACTTTCAGGTATTAGTTTAATGCAACAAGATAATTATGTGTCTAAGCCACAAAAAAAAATAATCATATAATATTAATCAAGACACATGATTCTGATCATCATTTTTTTATTAATGATTTTTTCAGAAATGTATCAATTTGTAGGATTAGTTTTGTTATGCACTTTTGGAAGAAATTATACTAATCTAATCACATTACGAAAATCTGATCAATAGATCCACTTAAATTATAATAAAAAAAACTTTTGACATTACCTATATATAAAGGAGGTCTTTTTCATTATACATAAAGCTTTGAGTATATCAGATATGCAGGAAAGTTCGAAAACAAATTACTTATTCCTGTAATACATGATGTCATCTATACTAAAATATTTCTAATGTTACTACGCATTTATCAAGTTCTGGAAGAAATTTTAGCATACACAATTTTTCAATTTCTCAATCAACATTATGAAAAAATATAATGTCTGATAAATTAATTGTATTAGTGTTCTATAAATGATTCGATAAGATTCGAAGTAGGAGAACCCATTTTTTATTCCCAAAAAGAAATTATTAGCATCGAACCAGATTTGATTCAAAATTCGTAGAACCTTAAATTGCGTTAATTGCATCTTTGCTTTTATTGATCGCATAAGAAAAAATTATAAAATACAGGTCGTAGCTTGCTACATAATGACGCTATTCTAAACTAATTTATTTAGTTTATTTTCCTTTTACAAGATAGTCCACTAATGATACCTTTTAGAATTCTGTGATTTTGAAGTTAATAATATTATTCTAGAATAGTAAAATTCTCATCTAACTTTAGTAACAGTATAGAATTTATACCATCAAATCACAAGAGCGTTAATTAAACACGAATTGTACTTGAGAGCATTATTTCTTTAGAAATAGCATTCACATTGCATATATATTCCTTTCACTACCTTTGTAATACAGATGTGAGTAATGATTGCATTCTTCACAAACCTTATAACTATACTTCCATCCTCTAAATATATGCCATTTTTTAAAGTAGTTCTAGCCCTCTTTTGCTGCAAGAGATGATTTACCCTAATAGTTTTTTCCGATAGTATATTCTATTCATTTTAAATTCTTTCTCCTCTTTCACTGCCCTTGACTTCTTAATTGTTGATGAAAAATGTGAGTTAGTTATCAATGGGTGGCTTATCTGTTGATTTTTCTTTTTTTCAAATGTATATAAGAAAAAAAAATAATAAATTTTTTATATAAGCTGAAATACGTAATATGCTATATCATATGATAATCATGAAGACTCTTTACACTTTCAACCAATAGAAGCAGAATCTATTCATTTATTGGCTAATTATATGATATCCGTAGATTCTCTTCTTATTTCCAACCAATAGATGTAGGCTTTATCAGCTAATAAAGAGTGGATCTACTGATGTAATCATCAATTGATATTGTATTGTGTATTTCAGGTGATCAACCCACATGATCGGTTTATACTACAATTGCAAACTTAAGTTTATTGCTTGAAGTGTTGCAGGCAAGACAATATTCTAACTTATCTTGGGAATACAATTTTGCTAATTTAGGATCATAAGGGAACTGATTCTCATTTCGCAATATTATGAGTCATGTAATCCATAATTTCTATATTTTCCATTGCAAATAGAACATGGTGAACTCTATGGCTGAAGTAATGTAAAATCATAATTATCAATCCTTCTGAAACTATTTCTGAATTTCAAATATAGGAAGTGCTCTAAAATAGATTTGATAATTAATTCTGGATTAGATCTAGCTTCAAAAGTGATAGGCCTTTTTTCTTGACATTGCTTACTAAAGGAGAGAAAAGATAAATCAGATACTTTATTTTCTGACAAATTTATGACTTCTGATTTATATACTTCTGATAGTTATCATAGCTTATTTTCAGTTTCTTTTTTATATCTTTTGTATAATTTAGAACGAATCTTATCTGTCAAAATACTTAGTCACCCAGTTAATTTGACATGTCAATCTAGATAATTAGTAATTAGTATTTTAACAGACTTAATTATTTTTCTTTTTATATGATTGCAAACAATTAAAATCCCTTTTTTCTCATATAGACCTATTAATTTGAAAAAAAAATTAAAATTTCTAGACTATTGTAAAGCAATAAGACTACGCAACTATCTTAATTTCACACTATTCATATTTAATAAAGTAAGATCCTGCTTTATATTTACCTTCTATTTCTTCATCATTATGACCTAATTTGCATAGTGGGTAGATATAGTCCCCGCATGATGTCTCATCAATAATCTCATAATAATCAAAATTTTCACTACTACATTATTTATATAGTTTAGAATATTGATCCAATATCTTGTTGCGAAAATAGGAATGATTATAAGTTAGCTTAGATTGGGATGCAGATGATACACTTGCTTGAAACATGTCTGATGAAATCATTTCTAATGAAGCATTTGGCTAAGAGAATGCTGGTACTTGGTTTGAAATACATTTATGATTTTTTTGCTAGTTATATGACCCATATTCAGCAGTGTAATTAGAGTAGTTGTATCATTAGTAATTATTTCTGAAGTTACATGACTCTAATCGTGAACATTATTCACAGTTTTATTAGTGATAATTAAGTTTACTCGATCTATAATGTATTGAATTTGAAGATTAGTGAGTCTAGAAATACTGTCAGCACTATAGGTAACCTAATTAACCATATGTCATCCTATATCTTTAATCTTTTTAGAATTATAGGATCATAATCATATCCAAATAGCTTATTGATCTTTCTTGCTTTGCTTGTTATCTTGCGCAAATATTCATCAGAAATGCCTGAAAGTATGATTTCATTTTATTATAAATCCGAGACCTTGCTATCTTATCCTTAAGATTTTTATCCTTAGATCTGAACTTCATGACCTTATCTTCAAATCTTTCAGAGTAGCGATCCCAAAATGAAATCTCTTTCTGCTTAGCTTTGATCAAATTTTTCCTTGCTATACTTACTTGATGAAATAAATGGACAAGCTCTTCTGTGACAGGTGAAGAATTAGAATGCTCTCTATCAATAAATTCAGTATTAATAAATTCCCTTTGGAAATCATCCATCAGAATCCTTATAATAAGTCTTGTATAATTTCAGTTACTAAGCCTGAATCTGATTCTCTCTGGGAAACATCCTCATTAAGTCTTTTAGGTATTTTTTGCACATAGTCTTCCAATAAAATCTTTTCTTGATTGTGAATAATGTTTACAATTTTTGTGTTACTTTCATTTTTATCATAATTTCTTAGAGAAGTTTCTGTAACACATAATAAGTCAAAAGGAACAGTTGACTTACACTGAATTTTCTTCTCTTTGTTACATTGCTTTATTTCATCATTAACCCTTTTCTTATATATCTTATCCAAGAAATCATCCGTCTCTTTATTCTCCAATGACTTAGTTTCTGTACAAATAGGTTTGCATACATTAGAATTAAATGTGCTATCAGATGTATTTAATAGTTTTGCCATCTTTTCTAATTTACTCAGGTGAACAACATTATTGGAGTTCTTGACAGAGCTGGCATTAGCTGATAATTGTTTGATTTCCTTGATATCATCATCCATTTTGGTAATAAGGTTGGCTTTTTTTTTATCTCTCTACTCTAGTCTTGTGAACCTAGCTTTATGTTCTTTTAAAGTGCACCTTAACTTTGCATTCTTAGCCTTGACCTCTGTATTCTTATCCATAACCTTGATATATTTGGACTTAATCTTAGCATTCTTAGTCTCAAGTTCAATGATGCATTATCTCAATAAATCAAGTTCAGATAACATGATAATATTTTAATGTTCTATAATACTAGTATTCAAAATCAGAAAAATATGTAAGCCATTTTAGCTGATCGTGAACATTGTTCATGATTTTGCCAAGAAATTTTTTATTATTACATGCAAAAAAATAAATACATAGTTTGAGACAAATGTTTAAAATAGCACTAGTTAGTACTCTGAAGTAATGCATCCCTTTTAGCTGTGATAAGACTCTAGTTACCTTTTCCTTTCAAGATGATGATAAATTTTTTTGGTATGCTTAGAGCAATAGCCTGTATAAAATAATGTAAGTTTATTGCATATTCTACATAGAGATTTTAACATATTATTTGCATCTAATTTCCAGTAGAATGAACATCCTGTCAAATAAGTATAGATTCAGCCACAAGCATTTCCATCTCTTTTGATATGAGGACAGGTTATACGATCTATCTAAAGTAAAAAATCTGAATTGAACTGTGGTAGAAAAAGTATATCATAAACGATCAATCATATACAATAGCATAAATCATATCATCTATAGACGTGAAAAAAATAGTACTCAATATTTTAATCAGCTGATGGATCGATTCAAATAGAAAGCTATTCCAGAAATTAATTCATGAAGGCTATAAATATGTTGATAGACTTTTAGATTATTTAGAAGACATTGGAATCATATATGTAGATAAATTTAAGCTAGATCCTTTAGCCGACTTCTACCACCTAGCTCTAATTCCATCTTTATCTATCCTAGCTAGTAGATTAGATATTCGTAAAAGTTTCCTATTAGTGTAGAATCTGTTATTATAAGAGGAATGAGTTATTCACCCTTGAAAAAAATAAACGATCTTCACTTCAGAATCTAATACAAATAAACTATTCCAGTGACAACTTAACTACATTAATAGGAATAACTTGAGAGCAAGAAGAGATGAAAATTTGGAAGAATAACACGTTCATGAAATTCCTCCATCTTTCAGATTTAGTATAAATTAAATGCATTATACGACGCATTCATAAAAACAGATGTTTTAGAGCCAGAACATATATTAGCTCTAACATAGCTACTTGGTTAAAATTTAATTATAATACAAATTTGTTTATAGTCTTAGAATAGCAGTTCTATAACTATATATTTTTCGCATATCATATATATCTGCAAAATTCAATTTTTTTATTATTACATGCAAAAAATAAATACAAATGTTCAGGACTTTGCTCATAATACATGATGTCTATGCTAATTATGGCTAATTATTTTTTGAATGATAACCCTCTATCCTAATCCTCTTCCTTTCTGGCTCTTCTTCTGCACATGTCTTATCTTTTAACAAACCTACAATAATGTCTAAAACCTTTTTTATACTCTTATACAATAACTGGTATTTTTCTGAATTTAGGTCTAAGGTCTTCTTGGTAAATTTGATCAAATACGTAGTATCACTTGCCTTGAATATTTTTTCAAGACTATATAGGAGGAAGTGTCAGTCCTGACCTGTTGTGATAATACCATAGAGGTAATCAAAATCATCATCATTCCGCTTTCTCTTTCTCTTGTTCGTCTCGCATGCGCTTTTAAGCCATTTAATATTCTGAGCAATGCCTACAGGAATCTTATGTTATTTATATCCTATGATACAGATAAGGTCTTCAGCCTCCTATCCATATATTTCTATAGTTCGTGTTATTGGTAAGTTAACATGAGTATAGCTGGAATAACAAAAAAATTTACCTTTATTGCAAAATTGACCTAACCTTAGCTTTTTTTACCAACTATTCTATACTGAGAACGCATATTAAGCTTCTTATCTATTATATCTATGATAATATGAATAAAAGCGTAAAGAAATACTATAACATACTCATTATACATGGCCTTTAAGCTATCTACCTGTAAAGTTTTGTAGAAGCGCAACCTACCCAAAATTTTTTTCATGCAACATTTGAGGATCTCATTACCATCTTAAATTTTATATGTGAAAGGAGAGAAGAGTGAAATGGAATCTATACCATCAGAGTCATAACCATATTTCGCTAATACTGCTAAGGTAAGAGGAAAATGAGCATAATTTTTTATCCTTACTCTTTTTAGCGAAGTTCACAAGTATTACAGCTATTCCTATTTCAAATTTACTATTTTTGAAATCTTATTTGTCTATTTTAAGGAAAGATCAGCCAGCTATTTTTCTTTTGCGAAATATCTTCAAGTCATCATTGTCAAGATCTAAGTTCTCTTTCTTCCGTAAATATTTGATAAGAGCCTCTGTTTTATATTTTTTAATTTCGTCTACTAATGAGATTGTCTTATTTTCAGTAACAGAATTAAAAGTGAAGACAGGTGTATAAGGCGTACCAGTTTTAGACATAGTGCTTTTATAAGTAGTTTAACTCAAATAAAAAAGATGTATTACGTTCAGAGTGAAACTGATGTGGTATAAAAATTATAGAAAAGTGGGTATTAATATATAATTTTATATCGCATAGGTATTGTATTATTACACATGACTTAGTCCTCATATTGATAAAATAATAATACTTTATTTATGAAATAAAACCGTTGTCAAAACTTAGCCTACAATACATAAAATTTGGTTGTTAAGACATTTCATATAAGTATATCGCTTTTACATGTCACAAATATAGATAAAAAATTTCTAACTAGTTGAGAAATCATTTGATTTTGAACTGATCTTTTTCACAAGGTAAACTTATAATGCTTCTTTTCAATTATCTTGATTTATAAAATAAGATTATTAGGATAATCAGGATTTCATTAATAAAATATAACTATAAGAAACATTTAATTACTCACACAGTTTCTTAATATAGTCATCAAGTTCTAATGCTTATTTTAATGTTATTCTATATTCTTTAAAATCCTACCCTGTTAGCTTGAGAAATAAATTACCAGTAATATTTTTTCATCATATAGCTTTGTAAAAAAATTATCGTCAAGTTCTAAGCCTTCTAATTTTGAATCACTCTTCAAAAAGCTGATAAGTCTTTCAGTTTCCCATAGTTTTATTGTTTTGACCTAGAAAGACATCTTGTTTTCTAAAACAAGAGCCTATAGTGAGAAAAACTCACTTCCATACATAATTTAAGGCATATACATACCTTATTTTGCGTTATTTTCTTCAGGAAAGTTTTTTATAAAAAGTTGGCTAAACTTTTACATATTCTTATATTGCTTTATATCTTACTAAGAAAAAGTTATAGAGTTATGAGTCATAATTAGTATTATCGTCTGATGTCAAGAGTTTTATGAAAGCGCATGTAAATGAAATTTTCAAACTTTTTCATATGTAGATCTACCGGAAAGTCCATAGTTAGTTTTACATCTGACAATCTCAAAATTGTGAATCCTTCAGCCTTTCATAATATATGCTTTTGCTGTTAATACTTACTTTTATGATAGGTCTTGTATTGCAACTAGACACTCTTTCACATTTATTTTATGTTTGTTCAAAAAAAATAGAGGTACTAATTAGCATGTATATTTTCTTTTTATTATATGTGAAATTAATATGTCGCATAAACCGTTTAGTAATCTGCATATTTTGTTACACAAAAGTACTGCATATGGCTTAGCAAAAAAATCTTCTAAACTGATGATCACAGCTCTGAACACAAAATTGAATATATGCTAACCAGAGATAAACACAATCATGATAAGTAATACTAATATTAGTTCTGATAAAAGCGAAGCTCAATTATATGAAGTACTTTTATATAAGAAGGAAGATATAATAGCTATTCAAAAAAACTCGGTATATTTCTAGACTCAGAAAAGAGATCTATTGAAAGTAAAAATCAAACAACATTGAATCAAAGCAAAAAAGAAAAAACATTTGAAGATTCATTTGGACTGTTATTTGATTTAGTGAGGAATTAATAGATATATAAAGAGATTTTGATGTGGATTGCCATCCTGTTATTACTATATTATAATAATATATATGAGCTTGAGGGAAGAAACATATGGAAAAAGGTTACTTAGGATATTATATTATTTGCTTTTATATTTGGAAGAGAATATAAGCATGATTCAGAATGTTCTTGGTATTATTGGTCATTCTGATTAGGAAATAAGTGGATTAGAAGAAACTAATAAATATGCAAGAGCGTATCTTCAAAAATTCTGACAGTTTCTTACCTTTAGTACCTTTGGCAGAAAATAGTCCAGATGTATTAATACAGAAATTCATCTATAGGAAGTGAAAATGTTTTATTTTACTAGAAAGTAACTACCATTATTTTAATTATGTGAAAATTCAGTTAGTGTCTGTATCTAGAACAGGTTAGCTAATCTATATTTTTTTTATCATATAGGAGTATACATAAGGCTTAGCAAAAAATCTTCTAAGCTGATAATCATCACTCTAGATTAATTAGATCAATAGAGTACAACCATTCTGCTTAATTGGCTAGTAATCTCTAAAAAGAATATTGCGAAAAGTTTTTCCTATATGCATCTAATGATAAATCTGCCAGAGATAATTGAAAAAAATGTGATATTTTTCGAGCTAAAAATCAACACTCTGATTCAGTTTTAGAGCTAGAAGATTCTGAATCAGAATAGTAAATTTCATCAAAATTTTCAATATGAATATTTGGATTAAGCTGGTTCATAACTTTTTTGCTAATATTTTCATATCCTCCCAAATCTAGAAATTTTAAATTAAGACATAAGTGAGCAATTTCTTTAATAGTCGTACTTGTAATATTTGTAGTAAGTAAGATTGAAATGTTAGAGGTTTGGACAGGAATGTATAACATTACAAATTGATAGTTCGCTAACAAACTCACAATAACTTAAATCGAGATATTCTAATTTATGGCAAGAATGGGCCAGTGCTTCAGTAACCTCATCAATATCATTATATCTGATCTCTAAATGTTTTAAATTTGGAGATGCTCTAATAATAGCCACAATTAATGCATCATTACAGAAAGCCATAACACTAATAAAGTTAAGATATTCTATGCTGAGATATCTCTGTATTAATATACTAGCATCTTTAATTTTCTCTTTGCTAAATGCAATATTAAGATTTTATAAATTTGGGTATAAGTTTATGATAAAACTTATAGATTTATCTGTAATCCATCATGTTTCAATAAAATGAAACACTTGTAAATCATGACAATTTTCTGCGATTTTAAACAAAGATTTATCAGTAATATTTCTGCAGTAAGAAATATTTAGATATTCTAATTTATGACATGATCGCACAATTGCATATAAACCTTTATCAGTTATTTGAGCATCACACAAATTGAGATATCTTAAATTAAGATATGATTCTACTATTATAAATAGTGATTTATTACCAAAACCTATACTTTCTTTGAAATCTAAATGAATTATATTCAAAAATGCATCCATAATATTTTTTATTTTTTTATCTGAAAGTGAATGGTAAAAGTAATTTTTAGATGAGTTACATTTGAGATATAAGCTGGTTTATTCTTTTTGCAAATTGAAAATGATTCTTAACATTATAGCTATATCTCTAGTTATTCTCCTTTAGCTCAATGCGTTTCTATAGAATAGAGGTATCACATTTGTACTATAATCGCCCTATAAAAAATTTGCATACGTTTTTTTATTATTATAAATAAGTTTTGTATATATTTTTTGAAATTCTGTAACACATTTCTTTATATTTTATAAGGAATTTTTTTTTAGCATTTTTTTATAAAAAATAATGTATAAGGAATTGTTAATTAATAATATATAAAAATAATAAAAAAAAATTATATTTTATTACATTGAAAATTATAA